ACTGCAGTGCTTGTTCTTATAGAAATATATTCATCTGAAATATATTCAGACATGACTGTGCATATCCATAACCCCAGCATTAGGGGACAGAGAGAGGCAGATCCTGAGAGCTCACTGGCCAGCCAGCCCAGGTGAAATGGCAAACTTCTGGGTCCGTGTGAGGTCCTGTCTCAAGGCAGTAAGGCAGAAAGGAAGACACCTGATGTCCTGCTCTGGCCTTCACATGTGCATGCATGCATGTGCATGCACCACACACACACATACACACCTCCAGTGTTGCGTAGTATTTGTAAATATAGGACCAAATTTTCTGCCATTAGCTAAGTTAATACCAAAAGGGAGAATTTCTAGAGAGCCAGATCTAGGCTTGCCTTCCATAGCAGAGTTCTTTAAGGATATTATGTTTTGTGTAGTTTATGGTAGTTATATTAATACAGAATTCATATTTATAAACTATATGAGACAGAAAGAAGAACATTTGAGCTCTTTATATAGAGGATTAATATGAAGTAAACTTTCTTTTGAACCAGGAAAACTAAATTATTGTCATTACAGACTCCATATAATTACATAAGTCGTAGCCAGGCCTGAATGTGTGGGTTCCAGCTGGTGGTTAAATAAGCCTCATTCTACTCTAAGAAAAGTCATATTACATCTGACAGGCATCTGGTATTTCAATTCAATTAATTGAGGCTCAAAGTCCTCTTGGTACTCAGTTCACTTCACACCACACTTTCAGACTGTTTACAGAGTCTTACCCAACTTCCTCCTACTTCCTGTAGTTTGAAATTAGCCATAGTAACAGATAGCACTTCCTGTTCTGCTGCTTCTGTGGTCAGTGGTAGCTCTGCAACTTGTAAGACAAGCTGGTGATTCAGGTGGGCTTCTGGCACTATCACAGGGTCTGATAAATGTCCTTGTCACAGTAAAAGGCCAGTTCTCTAGAAGATCTAATTTTTAATTCAATTTTTGCAAATTTCATACAATATTTTATCATATTTAGAACCCCTTCCATATCTACACCCCTTCAATGCCCCATATATAGATCATATATATATGTATATATATATATGCCTATCAAGTCAAATTTGTGTCCCTAAATGCCCTTGCTGTGGGTTGATCCACTGGAGCCTGGTTAGGCTACCTAGTGCCATACCCCTTTAAGAAAAATGACTTTCCCTCTCCCAGGAGCTATCAGTTACCATTCATCCTGTCTACCTAGGGGCTTCTTACCTACTTCCCCATGTCTATGCTGGGATTTTGTCTGACTTGAGCTTACATGGGTCTTGTGCTTGCTGTGAGTTCATATGAGTGCCCAGCTGTCTAGAAAATTCTGTTTACTTTGTGGTAATCCACCACCTTTGACTCTTACACTCTTACAATCTTTCTGCCCTCTGTTCTGCATTGATCTCTGAGCCTTGAGAGGCAGAGGTTTATATAGGTGTCCTATTCAGGGATAAGTACTCTACAGTCTTCTAGTCTCTCCATGCTGTCCAGTTGTGATTCTCTGTGTTACTCACCATGTGCTGCATGAGGAAGCTTCTCTGGTGAGAGTTGAGAGATGCATTAATCTTTGGGTATAATAAGTCATTAGGAATCAGTTTAATACTATGTCCACTTAGCAGAATAATAGTACTGGTTTCTCCCCTTTGGCTTGTGACCTGTCTGGCCACAGGTTGGAAAATGTGATTTTTAAAAACAAAACAACATCAATGGAACTGTAGCTATCTTGGTGGCTGAAAGAGTTGAGTTATACCATTTGACTAGGTCTCTCTCTTACCTAGAAAACACAGTGATAAGGACAGAGTGCCAATTGTCCACAACAGTCATGTCTATCAAGGAAGTAGAATCTCTAGCTTCTGCAGAGCAGTCTTCACAGTTTTCTTTCCCTCAAGTTAGCTGCTAGAGAGGACAACCTAAATGTAACTTTTAGAAGGAAATGTTGCCTGAATATGCTAGTGTAGGGCCAGATACTGTGTCAGAGAAATAGAGAAACTATCTACCCAACCTTTGTTGTTTAATTTTTTATATACGTGCAAAACATTGTATATCCTTGAGCACACAACTTGATGAATTTTCACAGTGAGAAAATCTATATAACCAGCACTCATACCAAGAAATAGAATTGTATCAGAAGATCCCTCCTTCCTTCAAGTCACAGCCTCTTCCTGCTCCTTGCATCCCAGAGATGACTTATGTTTGCCTTCTAATATCTAATTAACATCACCTAATATATACTCTTGTATCTGCTTTGTTTTACTCAACATTATGAGATCAATGTACTAAAATAAGTCACTTCATAATCTCCTATAAAGTCTGTACTCACCGTAACTTGTTGGTACTTGAAATAAATTCACATGCTCAGATAAGGTAATTATCAGGAACACAAGCTTATTGGTCTTTAGACAGTGTTTTATTCTTGATATAATGACTATAGTTTCCCACACAGTATTAAAAAGCAGTTCTGGGAAGCTAGTGAGCATCCCTGGAGCATTCGTGTGTTTCAATGGAAGCCCTGTGCTGAATAAAATGTTTTTCTCTGGGACTTGACTTTTTTAGAGGCAGAAACTTAGGGAAAATTACATTCACTTTCTCCATGGTGAGAAGTGTCCTTTGCCTACAAGCAATAGAACTAGAACTTAAAAGTATTACAATAGCTATATGAGAAGGAATTTTGATACTATCAAAACTAATTTTTACAATACTTTATAAATAAGGAAAATAAAGCATATGGAGATGATGTAACATGTCCAGAATATGATGCAATGGAACCAGAACCTAATATCAGAATCTAGGTGATCTGGCTTCTAGCATGCAACCCTTACAACTGCTCTGTGTGGCTTCCTAATAGTGCCCAGAACAAGTGCTTCACAGTCAATGTATTATTTTTATTTATGTTACTTTTTTCTATAAATTAGGGGAAATGTTTTCTTTCTGCTCTCTTACACACATACAGATATTTTGTCAAATATGTAATTGATGATAAGGAGAGTAAGGATCAGCAAAGTTAAATAACTGTACTAAACATCAACAGGGTTCAGTCAAGCTGGATTAGAGCCAGACTCTGGAACTTCAAAGCCCCTGCTCTTAACTTCTATATTCATTATCACCAATAAGTTTAATTCTTATTTTTCTTCAGCAGTTTCCAAAGAAGCCAGGGGATAAACTGTCTAAAGTAGCTTTTAGCTATGTGACATGATTGAGAATTAGAAATACATATAGATAAGGAAATTTTTTGAATTAACATTTTTACATACTATATAGTCTACTATGTGTTAGAGATCATGCCAGGCACTTTATGGAAACTATTCTATTAAATCTTTGTACTGCAACCTTGTAAGGTAGACATTCTGTATTTTAGAGATGAGGAATCAGTCTCAGAGATGTTACATAGCCTACGTAGGTATGCCAACCCCTACCTGCTAGCATGCCAGAGACTGTGTTCTTATCAAAGTAGCCATTTTCCTTCATCAGTTGAGGTAGATGTATGTATTCTGAATTTTATTCACCCAGTCAGTGTTTTATTCCATGAGAATCATAATTTAGAAAAATTGAAGGCAAGTATCATGTAATCATTTAGTCAGAAACATTAAATATCAGTTTTTTCTGTGACACTGTAAAACTTTGGTTTAGGGCAAGGAATTCAAGTATTTTTTAAAGAAAATTTTCTTTATTTTTATGTGTATTGATTGTTTTGCCTGCAGGGATGCAAGTGCATCACATATGTGCAATGCCTGCAGAGGCCAGAAGCGGGCATTGGCTCCCTTCTAAGTGGAATTGTGGAGGGTTATTAGCTACCACATGGGTGCTGGGCACTGTACCCAGGTCCTCTGCAAGAGTAGTGAGTGCTCTTAACTGTTGAGCTCTCAGTCTAGGGGAGGGGAGGGATTCAAACCTTTTTTCCCAATATATATTTTTATTGAATTTTTTCTGTTTGTGCAAAAGTACTGCTTCATTTCTGGAACCTGATGGCCTGGGGCTGCTGAGCCTTTTCCTCTTTGGGCCAACCCTTTGAACCTTAGCCTTTGTTTCCTTTGTGCTGATTCTTTTAAAACTAGCCACGTGGAAAGGACTGTGAATTCAGACCCCAGCCAATGAGGAAAAGACACAGTACTCACTCAGGTATACGTCCCCAACCAGAATGACAGAATGCACTCTAAGTGAAAGCTGCCTTGCCTGTTACTTTCAGTTTGTCTGCATTTGTGCAGTGTGTGTGTGTGTGTGTGTGTGTGTGTGTGTGTGTGTGTGTCCGCGAGTGCACATGCAGTATTGGTGGAGTCTTTGAACCTTAGATTTTATTTCTAAGAGTTAGGTGGTAAAGCAATACAAAACATTTTTAATGGTGCAGTATATAATCTTTATACATTTTGAACTTGTTCTTTTCCAAAGAGAAAAATTTTCCTTTAGCTGACCTATTAAAATGTAGCATATATATACCAAATATAGGAGCTCGTTGTATAGTTCTGAGGTAGAATGTGCATTTATCATGCTTGAGGCCCCCAGTTCCAGCCTCAGCACTAAGAACAAACCAATACTCAGAGAATTAAAAATTTATCCCTTTTGGCTACTCCGAAGAGTGAAAGTTTCTCGTTTGGACTCTCACATTGGGAGATTCAAATTTTCCTCCTTTTTTTTTGGTCTTTTTGAGACAGAGTCTCCCTGTAACCACAGCTGGCCTGTAACTCGCTATGTAGACCAGGCTGGCTCGAACTCACAGAAATCCACTTGCCTCTGCCTCCCAAGTGTTGGGATTAAAGGCATGTGCCACTACGCCCAGCTCAAATTTTCCTCTTTGACTAGATGTAAAAGCATTATCAGGGTGCATTATTGTTCGTAGTTCTTCCTTTTTAGTAGTTCTTATGCATTATTATGGTTTAGGAACATGTAAAGGTGGAGTAGCCTAACAGTGGAAGTGTTTTCATTATGCACTCACTCAGTCACTGAGCACCCAAGTAATACAGGATATGGTGGAAGTTGATGAAGCCTTCCTTTTCTGTCAGGCGACCAGACTCTGAGAATTTGGGATGTGAAGACCACAGGAGTCAGAATTGTGATTCCCGCACATCAGACAGAAATCCTAAGCTGTGACTGGTGTAAATATGATGAGGTACAGTATGTGGCCCCACCCCTTGATGCTGCCCTTCTAAATGTCAAAGTGCCCATGATTTTACTCATCTTTTTTATGTGGACTTTGGTGGTGTTCCTGGACCATTAAGTTAAATTCAGTCCCTTCATTTCTAGTGAATGATTGTGATTGACCTGCAGTAGCATTAATTGGACTTGAGTGCTCCTAAATCAGGCAAAATAAGAAACAGAAATTCTCAAAAGTTCAGTAGTGCAGCCTCTCTGGTTTTTGGAAACTGCATTACAATCGCCTAATTTCTTTAACTCTGCCACTTTGTCACCTTTTGCCTAATTTCTTTTTCACTTGATTAGGCTGCTGAACTGTTTATAACTTCATTTTTAATTTGACAGTCTATCAGTTTTTGAATTTGTTTCATCTTCCTTTTTTTTTTTTTTTTTTTTTTGTCTTTTTTTGAGGTAGGGTTATCTCCTCGCTATGGAGACCAGATTGGCCTAGAACTCACAGAGATCCGCCTACCACTGCCTCTGCCTCTGCCTCTGCCTTCTGAGTGCTGGGACTAAAGGCGTGTGCCTTCATGGGACTCATCTTCCTTTTTAAGCCCTAATTTTCATGGATCTGTAAGATAAAAGTGTTCATGTGTAACTTTTTGTAAAGCTTCAGTTATATGAATTAAAAATAGGAATGAAAGGAAAAAATAGGAATGGATTAAATATGTTAATATACTGTTGATATGCCTCAAAAGGCTTAATATTTTTTCATTTATTTACTTATTTTTATCTTATGTGTATGAGTATTTTTCCTGCATGTGAGTGCACCCATGTCATGCAATGTCAGTGAAGGCAGTTGCAATCCACATGGGTCCTGGCTTCTATGGAAGAGCACTTCACACTCAACTCCCCAGCATCTCATCACAGCAGTTTTAATGGCTCCCACAATTAGTGAATTTTTCACATAGAGACATTAGATTGTGGTCTGTTTTTATACTTTTAGGAATTCTAAAAAGGCATAGCTAAAATTTTTTTTAATCACTGAAACTTTTCTTCACCATGAGCTTATAGTAAATCCCAGCGTTATTCAGACACTCAGGTGCTGTGATAGACTTTTGAGTCACTGTGATAAAGAACCAAGCAAAACAACTTGAAGGAAGGAGGGTTGATTTTTTGCTCCCAGTTTCAGAGGTTGCAGTCTGTCTCCTCGGCTTCATTGGCCCTGGGCTTACAGTGAGGCTTGACCTCGTGGTGGTGGGAACACGTGGCAGAGGATACCCATCTCATGGTGCACAGAAAGTAGAGAAAGGAAGAGGGATCTAGGTTGAACTACAGCCCCCATATCCTGCTTTTAGCTAGGCCTTACTTCTTAAACTTTCCGAAATTGTCTAAAACAGCACCATCCACTGAGCACCAGGCTTCAAGAGTGATCCTGTGGGAGATACTTGACATTCAGACCATAACATGGGATATACAGAGTGCCTGTTCAGCCATCCTGTGCTCACTGAGGCCTTTAGATGGCCCAGGTAGTAAAACCTGACTATGTAGGAGGTTCACCACTATTTGCACACATTCTCAGGTCTGATTAGATATTATAGCAAGACTTGGCCCAACAGAATTGGGAACTATAATTGATTTAGACTTAGAAAAATAAACATAAATGTAACTTACAAACACTGTTTTTTCAAATAGTCCTAATCAAGAAGCATCTTCCCTATTGTTTTCCTCTTCTCCCTTCCTCCTTCCTTTCCTCCCTCCCTCCCTCCCCTGCTCCTCTCCACCTCTGTTCCCCTTCTCTTCTCCTTTCCCCCTCCCCTGTTTGTGTTTTTGGGGATTGAACTCAGGGCTGTACACATGCATGCTAGCAGGCGTTCTACCGTGGACCTATACCTCCAGCCCAGCGTCTTGCCTTTTAATGCCTGGTAAGACCTCAGAGCATGTTGAAACCTTTTGGAGAGAAAGATGGTTTGATTTATCAAAAGTGTTTTAATCTGTTAATGTACCTATCACTACTTGTAAAGGTAAGTTAGAAAATTCAGTGCTGCTATTTGGGATCATGCCTTTTTTCTCTTGTGTGTGGTGTCCCATCATATGCGTAAAGCATATGTTTAGTTCCTTTCCTCTTGAGTTATATAACTTTTTTTTTTGCTATGAAACATCTAATTTGATTTCTTTCTATGCTTGTTATGCAACAAAAGAATAACTTCTGGCTATGCATTAAGTAATTACTTAAAAAGTGGATTGTTTCTAGTGGGAGAGCCCTAGTACTGTTTAATTACAAACGTGTTAGAGTTTACTTTTCTCTGAATTGTTTTCAGAACTTGGTGGTGACAGGAGCAGTAGATTGTAGTTTGAGAGGCTGGGATTTAAGGAATGTCCGGCAACCTGTCTTTGAACTTCTTGGTCACACCTATGCTATTAGGAGGGTAAAAGTAAGTTTTTAATCTTTGCCTTTTATATGTACAATAAAAACTTAAACAGCAGTATAATCAATGAAGTATACATAAAAGAGTGTTTAGGGGTTGAAGTTCTTTGGTTCTGGGAATCAAACCCAGGGCCTTGCACAGTTGTTAGGCAAGTGCTTTCCCATTCAACTATATCCTCAGCCATTAGGTCTCACTGTGTAGCCCAGGTTGGCCTTAAGATTATAGTCTTCCTGCCTCAGCCTCCCAAGTGCTGGGATTATTAATTCTTTCTTAACATGTCTTTTTGTTATCTAATTAATGATAATACTGGAAGCTAAATGTAGGTCATACTCATTAATAAGTTGGGAGGACATAAAGACACCCTACTGTAGATTAAATAAAAAGTCTTCTAATCTTGTTATTCTCCAATCTACTGTTTCTTTTAATGTTATTTTTTTTAGCTGTAGTAGAGTATTTTTAGCATTGTCTACTTAATACTTTTCCATTCAGTGAGAGTGGCTCTTCAATAGTATGGAGAGATGGTAATTTCTCTCTCTAACATGATGGTATATATGAAAGTTCACAAGTGTATGTAGTATAGAAAATTTTCTACTCTGTAAATAGAAGATGAAGTAACTTTTTAATGTTGTCCCCAAGAAATGTACCTTGGTTTTAAGATAACTTTAGTTCTGGGGCTGGAGAGATGGCTCAGTGGTTAAGAACACTGGTTGTTCTTGCAGAAGACCCAGGTTCGAATCCCAGCACCCACATGGCAGCTAACAACTGTCCGTAACTCCAGTCCCAGGGGATCCGACAGCCTCTTCTGACCTCCGGGGCATTGCATGACATGGGTGCACTTACCTACTTGCAGGCAATACATGCATACACATAAAATAAAAAAATAAAATTTTAAAAACATAACTTTAGTTTTTTAGCTATTGTTCAGATGAGTCCTGCTGTGTTACTGTGAAAAACCCCTTATCAAATGACATCCCCTGATAATATTTTTTGTATCAAAGATTAAAAAGTACTTTATTCCTGGCAGAGCAGAGGAAAAAAAAAAGAGTACTTTATTGATCTTTTCTATATGATAACCTTACATTATTCCTCTTCTTAAAGTTATAAATCTCTACTAAATTAGTATTTTAAATGTTACTGGCTGTAATACAGTACAGTACTCTATGGTAGCATTTTGCTCTTTATTTATTTGATTTTGCTCTTTGAGAATTTCTTACATGTATATGAAATATTTTGATCATATCCCCTTCCCCTTCCATCTTCACCAAAGCACTCTCATCCTGTTCCCAACTTCATATCCTCTTTTTTTTTTTATTAATAACCCACTGAGCTGGCAATTAGAGCTGCCTGTATGCACATGGTTTAGGGCCATCCAGTGGAGCACTGGCAGTTTTGGAGGCCACACCCCTAAAGAAAACTAACCCTCCCTGGGTAGCTATCTATCAACTGCCAATAGCTCTCAGCTAGGGGTAGGGCCTCTTGAGCCCCTCCTTTCATGCTAGAATGTTCACTGGCTTGATATTGGGCAGGTCCAGAAGACAGAGTTCATAGCAGTCTTCCACCAACCCCCAGCTCTTACAATCTGCCCACCTCCTCTTTTTTGAGCTTTGGTGGAAGGGGTGATATAGATGTCCCACTTGGGACTGAGCAATCTATAGTCACTTATGCTCTGCACTTGGACTTGTCAGTTTCTGTGGTAACCACCATCCACTGCACTAAGATTTCTTTTTATTTTTTTAATGGTGGTCTTATAAGGACAGGTTTTACTAATAGGAAGATATTTTCTATGAATATTTCAGAAGTGTTCTGAGAATGAAATGTGGTAATGTAGTAAACGTACTTTGCAAACTGTAAAGTACTATCCAAATGTAGTTATGGGGTGGTGATGTGGCTCAGTTGTAAGTGCTTCTTAGCATGCATAAATCCCTGGATTTAATCCCCAGTATCACATAAAACCTGGCATGGTGTCACATGTCTATAATCCCAGCATTTGGAAGGTAGAGACAGGAGTGTCAGAAATTAAGATCTTTCTCAACTACATAACAAGTTTGAGGCCAGCTTAAACTGCATAAGACCCTACCTCAGTGTCCCCCGCCACACACCAAATGTAGTTATATATGTATATATAACTTTTAAAATACTGATAAAGCTTATGTGTAGCTCAGTAACTGAGCACTTGCATCATGTGCATCTAGCACTACACACACTAAAAATAAACAAACAAACACACTGGTCAAATATAATTGCAGCCAGATGTGGTGACATATGTCTTTAATCCCAGCACTCGTCTGGCAGAGGCAGGTGAATCTCTGTGAGTTCAAGGCCAGCCTGGTCTACATAGCAAGTTCCAGGCCAGCTGGGGCTACAGGAAGACCCTGTCTCAAAAAGACTAAAATAAACATTATGTGTGTGTGTGTGTGTGTGTGTGTGTGTATAAAATTGTAAAGATAGTCTGTGTAGTTTGTTTATTATTTATATGACAATGCCACTTGATGTATTGGTTATATTTCATATTACTAGGACAAAATACCTGACAGAAACAAGAGAAGATGGATATATTTTTGTTCAAGTTTTGTGGGTGGAAGGCAGGTGGCTGGGACTGGCTTTGTCTGGGGCTGTGGGAGCTTGCAGAGCAGCTTCCTCACATTTCCTGGATTGGCTGCAAGTAGAGCCAGCTGGTAATTGCCATGCCTGCCTGTCAGCTCAAGCCATGGGATTCCACAACCTCCAAAAACACCACCACCAGCTAGGTACAAGCTCTTCAAACACATGAGCCTGGGAGGGACATTTTGTATTTCACATTTTTACTCTTAACACTTGGCTTAAAATTTGCATTTTTATACTTGATATTTTTTATGATAGAATATATATATACATATATAGCATAAAATTGTTTTAAAGAATTTGATTTAACATTTAAATGTTTGTTTTGCTGATTGTTTATGACAGCATCCATATTCTTACAATCAATGAATATAATTATTGTACTACCACATACTTGAATTCCCTATATGCATAGAGTCATGTTTGACTAGCAAGTAAGAATATGTATTTAATTTTTTTAAAATTGCAACATTTGAGAATACTTCTTCTAAATCAGCTCTGTCGAGTTTGAAGGATGATTTTCTTAGTAGGACATAATAATAAAAGGTTTTCTTATAAAGGAATACTTACGTAAGGGTCAGGAAAACATGACCTGAGTGTTGTTCCTGAGCAAGCTGGTTTGTTCTGTCAGTAGATGGACCCTTGCAATAGCTTGTTAGGATTACACCTGACCTTTTTATTTTTCCTCTTCCAGTTTTCACCATTTCATGCTTCCGTGATGGCCTCTTGTTCCTATGATTTTACTGTAAGGTACAGAAATTTTTTAAAAATACATTTTATGTGCAATACCAAGTAGGATTCATATCATTGTAACTTTTCTGAGGGACGATGTGTTTATTTTACTAATAAGATGTGCCTTTCTTGCCTTTTAATCTTCTTTTTTCCTAAACTGTTAACTCTATAAACCACCTCCTTTTGTCCTGTGTCCTTTTAAGTCTATCTTGGTTATTGTGTTGTTTACATTGGGCTTATTATCTTAACTACCCAGAGCTCCTCTCTCATTTCTTCTCAGTCAGTATTTTATATGGCAGAATATATATGTGTATATGTTTTTTCTTTGTGTATAATATGTACTTCCAAAGAGAACAAATTGTAGCAATGTCATGAGAGAAATTTCTTGCCCTAACTTGCTTTTCTGGACTTGAGCCAGTGCAAGAATACAGACAAACTGGGGAAGGCAATCATGTGGAGGCTGCAGACTTTCACTTCAAAGATATTGTAGTCAGGTTTTGGTCTGTTTGTTTTTGTTTTGTTTGTTGTTTGTTTATTGGTATTTTAAGACTCAGGCTTCCCTTGAAATCTATATGTACTTGAACTCCTGATTCTCTTACCTCTACCTCCCAGGTGTAGGGATTACAGGCATGTGCCACCACACCTACCCACATTTTGTTTTGTTTGTTAAATACTATATACAAGATGGTAAGCAGTGACTGTAGAGTTTTTAGCTTGTGGTGGTACTAGAGTTTTTTTGCTTTGTTTTGTTTTTTTTAATGACAGTGACAGTTGGCAGAAGGAAAACCTGTTCCTTGCTTGCTGTCTACCCCAAACATTTCCTGAGTAGAACTGTGGAGCTAGATCATTGACTGGAGGGGGGGTTTGTATGTGGATCACAAAAGCCATGAGTAATTTACTGATACTCTAGTCCAAAAAAGTTAATACACTGTGAAAGGGGATAAGAGTAAGGAAGCTGGGCCTAGAGACACTATCTTCTGTAGAGAATTGATTTGGAGGGAAGAAGGGCACACTCCACTAGGAATAACAACAGTGTGGTACAGGGTGGCTGAGCATATCAGGTCCTCCAGGTAGGCTGCAGTATAAAGAGGGTACTTGGAATGTTCTTGTCACATCGTATCACCTGTGTGATCAAAAGAGATTTTCAATGATACTCTAGACTGTGGATTTCTAAACTTTTCTGGAGTCCAAAATTGATCACCTTAAGCAGTTGAGAACAGTATATTGATCTTTTGGTGATCTATTTTACTATCCCTAATAGTTTTAATTGGGTTTTCTGATTTGGGGATGCTGTCATCTTAAATTCATTTTAATGTGCTGTTTCTGATTGACTGGGGAGACCTAGTAACTTCCCATGCTTCTTTTTCAGAATTGTTACATGGCCTCAATCCTATTGTTTTCCCCGTTTTAGAATTTTTGTAAATTCTCCCATACACCCAGCTAGGAAATGCCTTACTTTTTAGATACAGTTGGTATGTCTGGATATGAACTGCACTACTTTAACATTTCTAGGAACCAAATTATGCTCTGAAAATATTGAAATTTTTGGCTTACAGTCTTCCTTTCAAGACTTAGGCTTTGTATCTTTTATGAAAGTTGGGGAAGACTGGAGATTGGGAAACAAGTGTTTAATACTCCTGAAAGAGACACACCCTGGGTCATGGTTTTTAGATACACTATAAGTTCAAAGGTATCAGAGCTGTGTTTTTAAACATGTGGGAAAATTGAGATTATAGTTAAGTTGTAAGTAACTTTAACAGTTAATTGAAAAAGATATTTGAGTAAGCAACTACCTTATACAACT